GGGATTCATATTAGAGTATCTTAGGATTAAATAACTATAGGTCAAAACTCTTAAGTTGGACATTTACATCCAGGAGTGGACATTCTCCTGACATTTCAGATGCTGTATTCCTAAGAGTGCCTGATAAACTCCAGAAAGTGGAGGGGCTGTTACCTGTTGTTCTTCACTAAACCTAGTTCTCCAAGAAATTAAAGCACCAAATTAAATAGTATAATTTGTTCATTCAACAAGTTAGTGAGTGTTTACTTTACCCAAGGCTCTATGGATTGTGGAGAATCCAGAACCTTCAAGAAACTTACAGTCTAGGAGAGATACTATAAGTACATTAAAAATTTACAACCCAGACAGTATGTACAGTGCCTTATGAGTGGTACAACATGACATAGAGGTTGAGAGATTATGGTAAAAAAAAAAAACAAAAAAACAGCATTTGGCTAGGGCAGCAGTTTACAAATCTATTAGGTACCTTGCTTCTCCCTTTTATAACAAATATTTTCCAAGGCCCTCTTTATTGTTTTGAAGTGAAATTTGTATATGATAAATAGCATCCTATACACATAATTTCTCTTCCTTCTTTCCTTCCCTTTATTCGTCTTTTTATTTTTTTTTAAAGTTTATTTTTTATCTTGAGAGAGAGAGAGAGAAAGCACATATGTGGGAGGGAGGGTGGGGGGAGGAGAGAGAGAGGGAGAGAGAGAATCCCAAGCAGGCTACATGCTGTTAGCACAGAGCCCAATGCAGGGCTCAGTCTCAAGAACTGTGAGATCATGTCCTGAGCTGGAATCAAGAGTTGGACCCTCAACCAACTAAGCCACCCAAACACACTGTATTTTTAATTCTTTAAAAAAAATCTTTTGTGCATGAACTGATCAGTCATAATCCTTGATCACCCATACAATATCCGTTATTGGTCTATTCATGGTCCTCTTCTAGTCTTCTGCTTGTTTAGCTATTTTTAATAAAGTAAAAACCACCAGTGATGCCACCACCCAACATAAAAGGTAGGACCTTCACCCTAACCTACATCCGACTCTGGAGATATCTTCCAAACCATCCTCCTGTCTCTCTCATCCTGATTAACCAAAACCCAAATCCCATGTTTGGTGTTGTCTTCCTTCCATTGTTATACAGATTCATTGAATCTGTATGAGTTTTTTGAACACATTTTTATTTTAGCTTTATGAGAAGGATTCACATATATCTTTTTTGTAGTGTTATAATTCTAAGATTCATCCATATTGTTGCATGTGTCACTGTGGTTCACTGGTTTTGACTACTCCGTTATGTGCCATTGTGTGAACATTCTATGGCTTATTCATTTACTGTCCTATTGATGGGCATTTGGGTTGTTTCTTAATATTTGCCATTTTGAAAAGTGCTGCTGTGACATTTTGGTACATACTCCTCGGTGTACCTGTCCAAGATTTCTTCTCTATATATGCCTAGAAGTGGAATTGTTGTGTCATTAAGAGTATTTGGATATTTAATGTTAGTTCATAAGCCAAACTGTTTTCCACAATAGTTGGTCTTATTTATATTCCCACAGCAGCATATAAGAGACTGTAGAAATCCATATTATCTCTAATACTTTATATTGTCAGAATTCATATTTATTAGCCATTTATAGTGTATCTTGTGGAAAGCCCAGTCTTACCTTTTGCTCATTTTTCTATTAGCTTATTAGTGTTTTTCTTATGATTTTTGGGAGTTCTTTGTATACCCAAGATACTAATTCTTTATCAGTAATATGAGTTGCAAGCCTCTTCTTCCAGTTTGTAACTTTCACTTTCTTTAAGATAAAATACTTAGGCTCAGTTGGTTAAGCGTCCGAATTCAGTTTAAGTCATACTCTCACAGTCAGTGAGTTCGAGCCCGCATCAGGCACTGTTCTAACACCTCAGAGCCTGGAGCCTGCTTCAGATTCTGTGTCTCCCTCTTTCTCTGCTCCTCCCCAATCACACTCTGTTTCTCTCTGTCAAAAAAATCATCAAAAAAACATCAAAAAAAATTTTTTTAAGATACAGTACTTAAGTTTAATGTAGTCAAATTGACTAATCTTTTATAATCAATACTTTTTATGTCTTCTTTTAAAAACTTCTTTATTTCATGGCTAAATTATACCCACATATATTTTTTTTATTTTTTTGAAGTTTATGTATTTTGTGAGAGAGAAAAGGCTCAAGTAGGGGAGGGGCAGAGAGCGAGGGAGAGAGAATCCAAAGCAAGCGCCACACAGTCAACGCAAAGACTAATGTGGGGCTCAAACCCACAAACTGTGAGATTATGACCTGAGCCAAAGTCAGACATTTAACTGACTGAATCATCTAGATGCCTTCTATTCACATATATTTTTTAAAGTTTTCTTCCTTTATTTAAATTTTTAATGCATCTGGAAGTGATTTTTGGTATATGATGTGAGGTAGAGACTCAAATTTTTCCCCAAATGGATAACCTTTATGTTTCAGTTCCATTAATTGAACAGTCTCTCAGTTTACCTTAATTTGACATGCCTTCTCTATAATATACAAAGTTCCATACGTATATAGGCCCATTGAAGGGCTCTCTATGCTATTCCATTGTCAGTTTATCAAGTTTTGGACTGACGCAACATTGTCGTAATCTCTATAGCTCCATCATAAATCCAAATATGGTTGGGCAAATATCTGCTCTGTACTTTTCTTTTTCAGAAGTGAAGTGTCATGGCTACTCTTGGCCCTTTACTTTTTCCTTATATATCTAATTTTTAAATCAACATTATCAACATAATGTTCCTGCTGTAATATGAAGAAGAAATAAAAGAAAAATTGTTTCTATAAAACAGTATATATATATATATATATATATATATATACACACACATATATATACATATATATCTATATAGATAGATAGATAGATATATCTTTATGCCATGGAAACACCAGAAAAAAACATCCCCACAGATACTCAAAATACTCCCCAAGGGCAGTGCAGCCCCCACTAAGGGCTGACAGGCTGGGGAAGGGGGTGATGCCATGAAGGAACCTTAAAGGATGGGTAGGATTTAAGTTTGCAGATATGAGAGAGAGAAAGGTAAGGTTCTAATGCAAAGGTAAAAAAGCATAGGGATTAAGTTGAGAGTGAGTTGGAAAGATTTTTTTGGAATGTTTTTTGTTTGTTTGGGGGTGGCTGATGGGAGCCAAAGTTAGTACCTATATCACAACCCCTTGGCTAGTATAGTCTTAACGCCCAGCTGACCCATCTGCTTTCCTTTGGGCAAATCATCTAGAGACTAAATTAAATTCTGGGAACATAAACCAATAAACCAAAGCAATAAATCCAGCTTTAATAAAAATGAAACAGGTTCCCCACATTTCACTTTAAACCATGACTTTAAATGCATTTGCCTTGTATTTTATTAAGCACTTTTGTAATAACCTTTTTTTAATTGGAAAATATTTCTTATTGTTTCACTTTGCCTCTGTGGATGGCTTAGTTCTTTTTTAAAACAAAATTTGGACATTTTTAGAGTATGATTATTGTTGCCTGATAAGGCCAGGTAGTAGGAGAGTGGGGAGAGGGCTTCCAACTTGATTATTTGGTGACTCAGCTGGTCTAGTTGAGAACTGCAGTCTTTGGTAGGTAAGGGTCCCCAGGCTGCATTTCATTCTGTTGATCTTATAGGTAGGAAGTCAAAGGAGAGGCTATTACTTGCCTCTCTAGTAATTAGTTTTTCTTTAAGCTTAAGGGTCTAAGTAACAATTCCCTTGAAAGATAAAATAGCTGTTTTTTTAGACAATCAGTAAGACAGTGGTGTTAAGAACTCCTTGATGATCTCATGGCTGGTGTTGATGTTGCAAGGATATATTCAGATTATGTGTTTCATAGTGAAGGGCTTTGAGCCTGATTCTAAATACAGTACCTTTGAAACTACAATATTATTTAACCCAGATGTTCACCGTACCCAAATAATACTCTTCTATGCCGTTTAAAATGGTGTAAAATGGTTTTTCCTGCTAACATATTCTAGCACCCCCCTACTCTAGGTTTGCCAGCTTTTGCAAATAAAACTGTGGGATATCTAGTATAAGGAGAAGCGTATTTGGGACATATATTGAAAAGTCACCTGTTTATCTGAAGTTCAAATTTAACTGGGTATTCTGTATTTTAACTGGCTACCCCACCCCCAAGGTTTCATACTCAGATTTTTCACTTCCACTAAATTTTTGATTTATTACTTTTCATCGCATATCTATACAAATATGAACGACACTCATTTTCTTTCCCCTCCCCCAAGGACCGTTCCCACTAGGTACCGAGTAAGAGTAACATTGACGAGGGAGATGTAAGTGAGAATGATTGTGTTAAAGAGAAGCAGTAAAACCCTATTTCTTATCCCAGGTACAATATGTAGCTGTGTATAAAAAAATAATTTCAGCTTATTTTGGTGCCTGTGTATGTGATATATTTTGATATATTGAACTAATTAAAATGATCTTCATTAATTAGTAATGATCTTCATTTTTTTAAACTTACAGTTTGTTTCATTGAATGAATTTAATTCAGCTCCTTTTAATATAAGACTGGTGTCCATGGCAGAATAAACAACTTTATACTGAAAAGATTAGCTATTCCTATTCTGAAAAGTCCATCTGTCATATCCTACACTAGGAATTTCTCACTCACCTTCTCTTCTCTTGAATTACAGACCCCCTGCTCTCTTCCTGGGTCATCCCTTCACATCACCTCTTCTCATTTATTCCAGCTTCTCCCCTTTCCCAGGTCCTATCTCCCTCCAGCACTGCTCCTAGAAACTCAAAAATTCTCGCTTTATAAACCTTCTTCTCTCATTCAGCCCATCTCCTATAGACCATCTCCTGTAGCCCATCTGCTACAGTGGCTTATCCCCCAAATGTTTTGGTACACAAAACATGAGTCTCCACTAGATGAATTCTGCTACTAGCTCCTGAATCAATGTTCCTCTCTCTGATGCTCTTTCTACAGGGAAAAGAGGAGGGGATTAAAAAAAAAAAAAAAAAAAAGCCTGTTGGACCAGGAGGGTAAAGAAAGGAAGGATCCTCTGTGGCCCTTTGGATTAATTTTGAGATCAGAAGCTGATGGAATTGCCCAAGAGACACTTCCCAGGGCCTGGATGGAGACTCCTGAAACAGGTGTTAAGGTGAGGGTCTGAGGGCACAGGACAGGAAGAGGGTTTATTTGACCTTCCCCCAACTTTCTTCTCATACCTGGAGCTGAGGAAATCTTGCTGGCACCCAGGGGCATATAATGGCATTCTTCTGATGGGCAGTGTCCTCTTCAGGCTGGGTCATCGGCAACTGAAGGGAGTACCGCTACTGAGGAAGAATGGGGAACTGCTGTTAACAGGCTTGTTCTGGTACTTCTATGAGGCTGTCTTTTGGATTGCCCAGTAATAAGTAGCAGACACTATGGCAAGTCACAAGACAGGTCAAGGGAGAAATTACACTTAGTTATTGGGTCTGTGAAGGAGACATTAATTAACTAGGAGGATTTCTCAGAAGGCAGCCTCACTCTGAGAAGTAGCATCTGTTATGTAAAGAGAAACGCATCCATGTTTTTTTTTCTAAGTTTATTTATTTTGAGAGAGAAAGCGCGCGTGCATGCGCACACACACGCATGCACATGCAAGTGCACACATGCACATGAGCCGGGGAAGGGCGGAGGGAGAAGGACAATCCCTAGCAGGCTCTGTGCTGACAGAATGGATCTCAGGAACTGTGAGATCATGACCTGAACCAAAATCAAGAGTTGGATGCTCAACTGACTGAGCCACCCAGGAGCCACGCATCCATGTTTTTTTTTAGTTTTAATTTTAATTTATTTATTTTTTTAGTATTGTTGTTAGTAGCTAATGGGCTGTAAAGACAGTGGCTTCCTACCAAGGAAATTATTGCATTGCTTCTAGCAGATTATGGTAAATTTCTTTATCTATGTTTTTTTTTTAATGTTTTATTTATTTCTAGGAGAGAGAGAGACAGCGTGAGCAGGGGAGGGTCAGAGAGAGAGGGAGTCACAGACTCTGAAACAGGCTCCAGGCTCTGAGCTGGCAGTCAGCACAGAGCCCGACGCAGGGCTCGAACCCACGAATCGTGAGATCATGACCTAAGCGAAAGTCGGACGCTTAACCAACTAAGCCACCCAGGCGCCCCACTTTATGTTTTTAACAGATAGGTTAGTAATGTTGCTGGCATACAAATGAGAACGCTTGGGAGAATATGATGGGCTAGCCCACTGAGACAGTGACCATGGGCCCTATTAGATCATTCTGTGTTCCTGGAATCAAGGACTATACAAACTTTTGATGTTCCTCAGAAAATATTCTTCTTTAAAAAATATTTATTTAAATTTAAGTTAGTTAACATACAGTGTAGTATTGGTTTCTGGAGTAGAATCCAGTGATTCATCACTTACATACAACACCCAGTGCTCATCCCCACAAGTGCCCTCTTTAATACCCATCACCCATTTAGCCCATCCCCCTACTCACCTTCCCAAAATGTTCTTAAAAACTCACCTCCCAAAGAAGAAACACAAGCAAACAAAACTCCCACCAACATAGAAAAAGACAAATGACAACCAACACATGTCTCTGAGGGTCGTAGGGGCAGGGAGTCTGTCTCCTCTCTCCTGAGAGCTACATTCATTACAGCTCCTCAGGGTGACTCTAACCCTGTTGCTTAGAACCTTAGTGAAGTTTGTGGAGGAAAAGCTGCCAGCGGTGGGTGGCCCCACGGAAAGCAAATCCATTTGGCGGATGGACATTTTTAAAACCTGCCACATATGTTAGCTATTTTTATGGCAATTAAATTGTTGCGGGGGATCCGTGAGGTGAATGCACAATAAAACCCTTCACAATAAACCGTGTGGAAAATCATCTAATCCAACCCCTGGAGGTCAAAAGCCACAGTAACATGTTGCTTTATTCCATGAAGAAGAATTAAGACTCTTTAGACAGCTTGCTTTTCCCTTTCTTCTCTATAGATCCGTGCTCCAGATTTGGGGTGGAAGGTACATTGTATGAAACGGCAGTGCCGGGGCTGGGGCAGCGTGGGGAGGCCTCCTCTCGAAGTTGAGCCTAGGAAGTGCTTTGTCAGTAACTCTCAACGCAGCATCATTTCTGTGCTACCCTTTTGCCAACCTCAGGAACTGGATATTCTTCCCAAGGGATATATGGAGGGGAATAAGACAGGAGGTAAGGCATATAAGTCAGAACAGGCTTTCACAGTGAGAAGACCTGGAGTTTGGGAGGTATAAAGGAGGCTGTGATCATGTTTATTGAGTCATATGCATGGGAATACAAAGCTTTCAGAACTTTGGGGATGCCTTTTATTTTCCCCTGAGGCAATGTAATGCTCTAAACGGAAATAAAACTTGTAAGAATTCTAGGACACCCTCTTACTGATTTGCACTTTGAGAATTTTAAGCCTAAGTCATTTAGCTAAATAAGAGTCTAGAAAGTCATTATAGCTAAAAGAAAGTCTGGGGACTAAGAAACATTAGAAGTTTCACAGTAACCTCTCAAAAATGACTCGTTAAGTTTGTTTATCCCCATTTGAACTTCATTTTGAAAATTTCTGTCATTCAAGTTTATTATTTTTATTTCATAAAATAGTCTCCTAATGAAGTTGGCATGCTTTTCAGTCCTCTTTTATCTTTTCTACCCAGTTGTCTTAAAATATGAGATTTAGAGCACATCTGAATAGCATGAAATGCATGGTAAGAAATGTTTACAAAGAAAGAACACATTTGCTGTTAAGAATCCGAATACCATCAGATATCAAATTCTCATCTCAAATAACTGAGAAACAGTCTCACTCTCAATCTCACTGTGTGATGGTCTTAGGTTCTGCCTGAGGAATGGCACAGGCATTCAGGCCATGCTCACTGACCTCAGGTGCAAACCCAGGCTAATTATGGATGAATAAAGGTATGAGGATAGTGTTCTGTCACCCCAATTCTAAATACCTTCACAGTGTAGTTCATTTCATTGAAGAATGATTTCTGATCAACAGAGAATATGCAGTAAAACAACCAATCGACAGATCAGATTTTTATTTCTTGGCTGTCAAGTGTGATTCCAGGGACCTGAACTGTACCATTCTCAGAACAAACCTTCAGGATCTTGGTTGTGGCCCCTTTTCTGGGATGAATCTTAGGGAGCATTTAGCACAATACTATTTTACAGATGACAAAGCTGAAGTTCAGAGAGGTGTGGAGGCGGGTGGGTGAGAGTGGCTTTTCCATTCAATAAACTAGGGCAGGAACCAAGGTTACCTGAATTCAAACCCCAGGTCTTTCTTTTTTTTTTTTTTTAATGTTTATTTACTTCTAGGAGAGAGAGAGAGAGAGAGAGAGACAGCATGAGCAGGGGAGGGTCAGAGAGAGAGGGAGTCACAGACTGAAACAGGCTCCAGGCTCTGAGCTGGCAGTCAGCACAGAGCCCGACGCGGGGCTCGAACCCACGAACCGCAAGATCATGACCTAAGTGAAAGTCAGACGCTTAACCGACTAAGCCACCCAGGCGCCCCCCCCAGGTCTTTCACTAAGCAGTTTGGGGCCAGTCATTTCCTCTGGATCTCTTGCTTCTCCTATAAAATCAGGGTGTTGGATGATTTAACATATTGCCTCTTGGTCCCAACATTCATGTGTTCTTTCCACTGAACTGTATCTTTGATATCATTCATTCATTTGTTCATTCATTCATTCATTCATTCCATAATAAGAAGTGATTATTGGGAAGCAGCTGCTCATCAGAGACCATATTTATCAGCCTGCTCCCCCTGTTTCTCACCTTTTGTATATGGCTGGAGCCACTTCTTGCCAATGGGATGTGATTGGAAGAGAAGCATGTCACTTCCAGGCAGAAGTGATTAGGCAAGAAGTATGTTGTTTCCATCCTTTCTTTCCCATCTGCTGACTGGAATAGCACTCTAAAGCCTTAGGGGATGGTGGAGCCACAGGGAGGAAGTAGCCTGAGTTCCTAAATCACCCCATGGAATGCTTCTTGCCAGACGACTGCACTGGACTGTTATGTATATGAGGAATACACTTCTTTATCTTAAATTTTATTGTTTGAAACAATTAGGGTGATCCTGACTGATGGAGTCAGGCAACAGGCATTAAAATGCTTACTATATCCATGGTATTATGTTGAGTAGTAGGGATCCATCAGGGAATAATACTCAGTTCTTGCCCTCAAGGAGTTCAGCCTGGCAGGAAAAGACATACAGGTATGCCAACAATTACATCACAGTATGATAAGTACCATGATAAACATAGGATGCTGTAAGAGAACATAGCCTTGGGCATTTTGGGCAATACTCCCAGCAGAGGTAACATTTAAGTCAAGTCCTGAAGCAAAGCCTATTTGATCGTGGAATGGTGTTATGAACTGAATGTTTGTGTCCCTGCAAAATTCATAAATTGAAGCCCTAACTCCTAATGTGAAGGTATTTGGGGATGGGGCCTTTGGGAGGTAGAGTTGGATGAGGTAATGAGGATAGAGCCCTCCTGGTGGGATTGGCTTCCTTATGAGGAAGAGAAAGAGATTTCTCTCCACCTTGTGAGGACATAGTGAGAAGGCAGCCATCTGCAAGCCAAGAAAAGAGTCCTTATCAGAACTTGACCATGCTGGCACCCTGATCTTGAACTTCCAGACTCCAGAAGTGTGAGATATAAATGTCTGTTTAAACCGCCCAGTCTATGGTATTTGGTTATGACAGCCCTTGCTGGCCTTAACAAGTGGGTGTTTCTTCCCAAGGGACCAGTCTTTGCAAAGCCCCAGAGATAAGGGAGAGCATGACTTGTTCAAGGAGTTTGGTGGCTGCCAATGAGGATGGCGAGGTAAGCTAAGGTTGGATCTGCAAGGAGAACTTCCCATTACACTGAGGCTTTTGAATAAGGTTTCCAAGAAGATGGCTTCTGTCAGCCACACCTTACAGTGGCACCCAAGGATAATGGGAAGACCAGAGAGGACCTGAGGGAGTGCTCTAAAGGTTAGGCAGGCAGAGAGAAGTAAAGGATTGGTGTAGAAATGGTACTATTGGCATCTATAACATCTTTAAATGAGGAAAATATCAAAATGCTATCAGCTCGCAGGTCAGTGGGATTTGACACAGTTTAGTGGCAAAAAGAAAAGAT